CGAAAAATGCCTTTGGGCTGCAGACCAACACTGTCGCGATTGACAGAACTACTCCGTCTGACATTAGCCGGCACTCTCTTGGACAAAACTAAATGGTAAATTGAGTTTAAGCAGGCGCCGGATACATCAGAAAATGCAAACTAGAACCGTACCTAGCGCTGCTACTTATGTGCTACCAATCTGTCCTAACTCTTTTCAGAAAAATACACAATATGTGGTGGTGGTGGTGGTGGTGGTGGTGGTGGTGGTTGTTCGTCTTCGTGGTCGGTAGTTTACCCCATTTTGTCCGCGAGTAAAGCACCAGTTTGCCATTTGCAGCCAGGCCGCAGCGGAGGCATTTGTTGGGGAGAGGCGAGTCGCAAACATAAGGAGGCGCATAGATAGACCGGAAGGTGATGAGGTGGCGAAGACTTCCCGTGTAACTTGTGGCAGATTAGATTCCTCTTCGCGACCAGGAGGCACCAACGGCAAGCCATCAACCCACGGCGCCGCGGCTAATTCACTGAAGAAGAGGAGATGCCTTACCAGGCTGACTGCTTGAGACTGAAGCTGCGAAAAGGAGAACAACGTCAATGACAATCAGCTCTCCACTCCAATCAACCTATAGGATGTAAAAGGGTGAACATGAACAAACCTGATTGGGACATTGCAGACATTTGGAGGGCACTTCTGCTACAGCATGAGAGGCGCAGTTGTAAATAGCCTCGCAAAACGTCCTACTTTTGTTCTCCGTCCCACAACTAGTCATGAGTCCCTCGAGGAAATTGAAAAGTTGCAGCGCGACCGAAGCATTCATCAGGCAGTGGTCCGCGTGTTTAATGCGATCTGGAATGGCCTCAACCACGCTCCTACGGAGGCCCTGGGCCAGACAGTTCATTGCCACAACTTTGTCAAGCAAATGATTACTTTCGGCGTCGCCCTCCTCAGGAGACTCCTTTACCCACAAAAGATTCCCCAGACAGCGTATCATCCTCAATCGATCGATTGACGGTAATTGCGTTTTCTCATTAACGGAGGAGACGACTGATAGGTAATCCGTAACTCGAATAACAGGCCTTGAAATCAATCTCAGTGCGGCAAACTCATCGAGCAGCATCCGCATTGCTACGCCCCGGGACCCGTCGACTGGCTGATCAACAGTGCCCTGGCGCGTGGGAGGCAGGAAAACCATATTCTCGCATGCCGAAAGAACGCTCCTTGTGCGCGACTCCCAGTCAGAACAGTTACCAGCGAGCATCTGCCAGGTCGCAAGACCTACAGTATTGGAATGCTGTGGAAATTGGAAGTTCCTCTCGTCGGCACTGTTACATAGATTGGCTCGGACCAGGATGTCCGACAATGGAGTCTCAATAAAAGTTCCAAAACCGATGGATTGGGTAGTTTGAATGGCAAGGGAGACGGACGTCTGCCGAACAGTATTGACTAAATTCTCCAGCGCTTCGGAATCCAATGTATGCTGATTCTTTGAATCTAACAGAATCTTGTTCTCTAAATGGCTGAGGTGGTCGATCCCGGAGCTTGGCTGTTCGCTCTTAGAAGGAGATGCTTCGGTGAGGCAAATATCCCACCTGACAAAGA